TGATTATAAAAGTTGAGTACATGCAATGAGAAATTGTCTGAATTAAATTTGCTATTAAAGGGTTCTTATATTGTATTTATTCTTATTCATTCTCAATGCTGCCCTTCCTATATGGACATCAAAATTGTTTCTAACAATTCAAACTAGAAATTTGTATGATATAAATGCATACCTTATGAAGTTTTCCAAATATCATTTTTTGATGTGAAATATTCATGATTTATATAGAGTTCACAACCATGCATAATTTGAGTTCATAATTACTAATATTGCTTCATTGATTGATTCCCTGTTTTCCAGTGATGACTTTTTCAAAATATCAGTATTGGTACAGTAAAGTATTTATGAAATGGAATAATCAGAGTAATGAAAAGAGAACCTTCAGTAAAGCCATAAGGTTCATAAAAATGAATATTGATTATATTTGTTGATAGTACTTCTCCTACTACACTTTTTATACCTATTCAAACAGGCCTTCTGAAGTCTCTCATGATTTTTCTTCAAAGAGAGAGTGATGGGTTCAGGGAGTGAGGCAGGGGGAAGGGGGAGCAGCGTAAATTCGGCAGCTCACATGTGAGCTCCGGCAAGAAGTCCACTCACGGTATTAGCTGTAGTTGCAATAGAATCTGCATTCAAGTGAACAACTTCCTAGTTTTCTTGATACTATGCCAGGATAGTACGCTATAGTACTTCCTATACATGCCTGTCAAAGAAACCCATTTCAGTTGTTGAACACAAAAATTATGTTCAAGATTCTTCAGTGTAAGGGGATTATTTTCACAAATGCAAGGAAAGGGTTTTGTGTGTCAAACGTGCTGGTTTATAATGTTGATTTAATCAAAATACTGTATTTGAATTTAGCTGGTATGCTTATTTATATGGTACAGTAAATCTGATCTGACTAATGTATGGACAAGGTCCCACTGTGATACCTACTTGGAGAGTGTCTTGAGAGCAGGTAATATTACAGAAGAGTCTTATGACAAATATGTGCTTGCAGCAAAATTGTTTCCTTGGGTCCCTGCAACACATTCCACATGTTGCATGAGTTGCTGCATAATTTTTTTTTAAACAAAGCTATTATATTGTTTTGAGATGATTTGTTATAACAATATTTTTATTGCATTAAATTGCCTCCTTAGTATTGCTGTACATATGAAACACATTTTGAATGGACTACAGCACTGAAAAGATGCTGCATCTTGCATAGGCCATTCTGGCACCCCCCTCGTCCCCTCACTTGTTGATGTTCGAAGCTGTTTAGCGACATCTATTGGGAGAATAAATATGTATATCAGTTCGCCCACATTGATCAGTTTCAGGCCAGCGTAACCTTGTCTAATACCCGGCTATCCATGATTTCTTGTCCTCTACAGTACTGCACTGTAACGCGCTCAATTCCAGAAATCAAGATCTGAAGAAGGTAACGCGCTACTAAGTGTCTTGTTTTCCTAAGGATAACAACGAACGCGGAAACGGGTTATAAGTGGTGAGCTTGTGAACTGCAGTGTTCGCTGAAGAAATGCGGTTCAGGTGCAAAATTACCGATGAAGTTGCCGTCAAGAATTTCTCCGGTGAGTGCGTCAGTCATGTTCGTTTTTAGCAGCTTTGCAGTGCTTCCGCGGTTTTCGTCTATAATTTAAATGCTATCAACCGTAGCTGAACTATGATCAGATTTTTTCGTTCGGGTGAAATAAGGTTAAAAAGCAGAACTTTAATGAAGAAATGTCCCTCTTACGCTGGGCGTTTGCGTTCAGCCGCAGAGATAGTTGAAATTTGTGACGCATGTTCTGTATACATTACAGAGCCTGAAATAAAATCTTGACCGACTTCACCGATTGAAGGATCGTATTTATTTCAGGTATCATTCATTTCGTGTCAAGGCTGTGGCGGACTGTGACGCTTCGTCTAACCGCCAACCGAATGTATTTGGCTCACCCTGCGGGCTTAATCGACGGATCGCCGGAACTGCACGTAATTATTGAGCGTCACGTGATCTTTTCTTTGTATAATTTGGACGGACTATCTGACGATCATCCCGAAATTTTTCTCTCCTTGGAAACCGGTAAGTCTTCCCTGCTCGGTACCAATTCGCTTGTTAACCAGCTAAGTACAGTATATAACATCTTGCAGCTGCATTCGAGCGAGTCCTGAGTACTGTTCGTGGATCGCAGTTTTCAACGTTGAGATCAATCAAGATGCAGCTTACGAACAAAGGCGGAGCGTGTCTAACTCTCGATCTCGAACTGGTTTGTTATAAGTTTATCGACAAGTCTCAACTATGAATAATAAAATAACATGAGGGGTTTCCGTAGGAATGTAAGAAAACTGGGATGGTTCGCAACATGATCCACGACATTCCAGTTGACGTAATTCCTCTGAATGAGTGGAACGGCGTGCCCACTCCTGTTCCAATGGAGTTCTCGGTTGGTTCTATTGCGAGTGATGGTCTATTGAAGATACAATGTGACATTTCTTTCATCGCAGGCAATTTTTTCCCTTCCTTCATCGCCGTTAGTCAGCAATCTCTTCAGCTTCCTGAAGGGAAATACTCATGGAGTTAACATGGTAGTTCAGCATATTCAATCGAAGCATGGCGTGAAAGGTACTTTCCGATTCACTGTGAACGCGGACATGTATTCGATTGCCCTGAACATGTTTGAATTGGACGTTCCACCGCAATCTATTGTACCTCTGGTTTCGAATTACGATGAAATCGCCCGTGGCCGCTCAACGGATGCCAACATCACGAATAATTTCACCGCGACAGTGAAATTCAAGAAAATGAGCAGTCTTCTCTCCGTTTTAGACAATTCCAAGTCGAAGCAAGAACCGATTGCGATGGGTATGTTTTTCGAATTGCCCGTTATTCAACTGTTCTCAAAATGTCAGACGTGGATTTAAAAAGTCCAGAAAGCCGATTCCTCTTGAGCCAAACAAAACGCGTTACAGGTACGCGTCCTTATAGGCAGTTGCAGGAAAACGGAATGGAAACGAGGCGGCTGATCAAGACTAAAAGTTTACCGTAATTCATCAATTTTTCAATTCGCGTTTATTTTCACTGCATTATTTGTTTTGGCATGACAGAAAAATCGGATTCGGTTTGTTAAAATGACGAAATCGAAAAAGAACAAAGATTTAGTGCCTCCTGAGAAAGATCCGATCGAGGAAGCGCTGGATCCAGAAAATATTGTAAAGTGTCGCGATTTACTTTATCGCTTGATGGTTGGGCAACTTTTTTACGACGGGCAATCGCAAATTGCCATCAAAATGTCGAATTTGATCCAGGCTGACCCGCCGTGCACGCCATCTGATCGGCTCATCTATTTACTTCAACTAGGCTTGATGAAAGAACGAGGTGAGTAATATTTGTCAGAGTTATCACTCTATTGTCTAATGTGAAATTTTAATCTGATCTGTGTGTTACAGAAAATGATAAGGCCAAGTCGAGTTCAAACGCGATCGCGTCACAGATCGGTGGAAAGGCTACCATCGACGCCATTCCTGGGCTGGATCTAGAATTTCAGTCTGACGTTCCTTCGTCTGCTCCTGAACCTGCCTTGTATGAAACTGCGTACGTCACAGCACACAAAGGAATGTGCAGAGCAGGAGCTTTTAGCCCAGATGGTGTTCTGTGTGCCACAGGAAGTGTTGATGCATCCATCAAGGTAAGTTTTTTTTTCACCGGTATTCGTAGACCTATGAAGATAGAAGAAGTCTTAATTTTTTTGGCAGTTTTATTTCTTCTGTTCATAGAGCTATCACATTGAAGAGAGCAACAAATTCAAGTTATTTGATCTCTATTTAAAATTTTTTCGGGATTTCCGTTGCGTTGATAGTGACCTACAAATAAATTGAAAACAATCCCCAGAGAGAAATTTATCTTTGATTTTTAGGGGGGGGGGGGTTATATTTAAAAAGTTTGTTCTGATCACATGTGTCTATGAAAGAATCAAATGCAGTTTATCGTTGATTCAGTGTCCTTGAAATTCGCTCTCACGTTGGAGGGATTTTTTTTTTTAGAAAGTAATGTGTAAGGACTTCGCTGAGGCTTATTCAGAATATCAAAATAGCAAATGAATTTTCCCTCTTCAAGCGTATTTTAAGTTTCCAATGCGCGCGTCACTCCTCTAATGAATTTGTACATCTATAATTTACGGAATTCGTTCGTTTAAAAATAATTACGGCACTGAGTGTACTCGAATCGGGATGCGTTCAATATTCATTTTTGTATTCATGCTGTCCGACAGATTCTTGATGTGGAGCGTATGTTGGCGAAAAGTGCGCCGGAATTGTTGGAGGCGTCCTCGTCTACTATTCGAGACGGAAGGGACGGCCAGGAAACATCTTTTCTAGGACATCCCGTGATAAGAACCCTATACGATCATATGGAAGAAGTAACCACGTTACAATTCCATCCCAAGTTGCAAATTCTCGCCTCTGGCTCTCGAGATCACACCGTCAAGTTATTTGATTTCTCGAAGACATCTACGAAGAAAGCTTTCCGAACCCTTACGCATCCACAGCCAAAGTGCTACTTAAAAAAGGCTCTGAGAAAAACCATCAGTCTATTTTGGACAGGTAGGTAAAAGTCGAAGATTAAAGCCTACAAAGCTTCATTTAAAGATCGAGAAAGACCACTAGTGATTTTCAAGGAATTGAAATGAATTCGTAAAGTGATGTATGAGGAGGTATTTCTGCAGGAAAGGTCGCGTGTGTTGTTGCTTGGTGAATAACCCTCAGAGAATTGGAACGAGTGTCCAGGGAGGGACAAAGCAAGCACTTGATTATTCTCTCCTGATATTCCCGAAATATATGATCGGCTTTACTATCACGTAGATAATGTTAAGAAAATACTGTATGTCGAACTGATGATTATCCTATAAAAAATTCTTTTGAAGCATTGTAACCATGGCTAAGTTGGAGTATCCTTTCCGGTCTGTTCATGCATGAAAAAACGGAAACTGAGAAAATTTTTACAGTTTTTCTTGATGCTCCTTATAGGTTAAAATTCGGTGTTCTGAAGATATTTTTCGAAATTTTCACGTTGATGTGCCTATTTAAGAGCTTGACCGCCGGGTTTCAATCAGCAATAATATTTGAATAACTTGTGGCATTTCATGAAAGCATCTCCCGCGTTGCACACATGTATAATCCTGAAGTAAATGTCGATATCTTCACTTTACTTAACAAAAAGCATCCTAAGACTCGTTTAGGCTCGCTATTCAAAGGTAGGGCCACCTCTAATGTAGGACCAGCGGTGTTTAGTAGGTCGACGAGCTAACATGCTACAAGCGTGGCCCGTCACGAAGCATAGTTCGATTTCCAGTCATCACCACACTGGGCCAGTGCTTAGCGTAAAGTTAGTCTGACGGGAATCGCGTGAGAAGTGTTGACCAGGTTGATACATGCTTTTATTATTTTTTGCCTGAAGGTTCAGTGCGGATGGACGCCAATTTGTGACGTGTTCACGCGATGGATCCATCAAGATTTGGGACGCAGTTTCTAACCGGAACATTAACACGTTTGCTAAGGCGCACGAAGGCGCGCTTCAACCAAGACACCTCAAGAGCTTTTTACCGTTCCATTATGGGCGGTTTAGAAAATATAAGAATAGTGAATACACCCGCTAACACGGTTTTTTTATCCCGATCAAAACTTTGGTTCAAATTTTGGGGATGCAACAGCTCAATTTTCCTTGAGTATGGTATTGCCTTAGTATTTGGAATGAATCCACTTCAATGAGGAGTCGATGAATCGACTGAACTTATTCCAAGGCGCCGAAAAGTTCTTTCCCTAAATAAGTTCAGGCAAAATAACTGTTTGCGGAATTGCGTATCTGTTCCAGATCTGTCGAAAATGTTCTTGATACAGCTGAACCTCGATAACTCGAACCTCCCTGTGTCGAAATTGTTTCAAGTCTCTGTTTGAATCCTCTGAGAAACAAAGCAATAAAAAAGTCCCTAATTCAAAAGCTTTCCCCCTCAAACCTCCAGAACTCAAATTTTCTGGAGGCCTTTTTGCTATCATTTTATTGACACAGGAAAGAGAAAAGCAAATAAAAATGAAACTTAATCTGTTTTGAAAGGAAATGAATGAACAAATGAACCCTTGCTTCGAAGTTAAGCATCCCTTCATCTCATTCAAGTAGCAATTCGAGACCCAGAATATCAACAATTACAATTTATTGCAATTCTCATTTCTCTCCCCCAACAAAAAAGCTTGACTTCCTCACTCGAAACCCTCCTGACTCGATTTTTTCGCTGGTCACTTAAAGTTCGACTCAGAGAGGTTAGACTGCATTTTCTTGGAAAAATTAGCAAATGGATAAATGCTTGAGCATACAGTGAAAGGACAGTAAAACATTCAAATCAGGAAAACAAGGCCGAAAAGAAACAAAAACAATGGGATTTTTATTATTTAATTGAAAAAATATGCAGGCAACCACGTATCCGATATTACTAAGCTAAAAATGTTAAACAGTTCGTCAAGTAACAACATTGAACATTCATCCCAATAAACATATTTCGTCTGTAAAATACGTCAAGCTCCGATAACACGCTCCGCATGTAATAGGCTCGGCATGCTTAGAGCAATTGTCAATGATTCAGCATATTTGATCTAACATTGGATTTTGAGGCTTGATGATTGGATTTATGTTCTTACACTTGGGAGACATGCTCTTACGATGTGTATTAAAGTGTAAGGAAATCTCTCGTTCTCTAGGGGCAGATTTGTTCAATGATTTTTGCAAAATTTTATGCACACATTTTTTTTTTCGTTTTCAGTACGTGTTATCCTCTGGGAAGGATTCATTGGTGAAACTCTGGGAACTCACGTCAAGTCGATGTTTGATTGCCTACACCGGAGCTGGAACTACCGGTGAGCTTTTATTCAGTTCAGAAGTCTAATTGAGTTGCTTGGTACAATTTCTTNCAGTTCGAGGCTATTGTGCGAGGCGTACATTATCCGAGCCGTACGAAAGAGCAATTGTCAATGATTCAGCATATTTGATCTAACATTGGATTTTGAGGCTTGATGATTGGATTTATGTTCTTACACTTGGGAGACATGCTCTTACGATGTGTATTAAAGTGTAAGGAAATCTCTCGTTCTCTAGGGGCAGATTTGTTCAATGATTTTTGCAAAATTTTATGCACACATTTTTTTTTTCGTTTTCAGTACGTGTTATCCTCTGGAAAGGATTCATTGGTGAAACTCTGGGAACTCACGTCAAGTCGATGTTTGATTGCCTACACCGGAGCTGGAACTACCGGTGAGCTTTTATTCAGTTCAGAAGTCTAATTGAGTTGCTTGGTACAATTTCTTTTTTTTTTCACAATTTTCTTGATATTTTTTACCGAGAGGGTTTTCAATATCTATACAGTAATTGCGTTGTCGATCAGGCGTTATAATTGCAGGTATGTGTACGCTTATTTTTCATTTGTTGTTTCGGTGTTCAACCACTCCTTTACCTCGAAGAAATTCATTTTTGTTCGAAGATTTGCAAGAAGGGAAAAATATTAGACCAATTTCGTTGGAATCACGACGCATAATAGTTCGAGAAAAACTTCCTGGACACTTGATTACCGGCAGTGCGGTTTGAACTTGAATTGAAGACATCGCAGTTCGTATTTGAATCTAAATTTTCAGTCAACGCACAATTTTATATCAGACCGTTAAATGCTGGGTATCTTCTTCTTCGTGATCTTGAGTTCTACCTTGATTTTGTTCCACCCATGCTATAATTCTTTAAAATCCAATCTGTGAAATGGAAAAACGTCACTTGCTACCCGTTGGAAGGTCCTTGCTTTGAAACTTTTGACCCATTCTGAAAATATTACCGCATTAACGCGAAAATAAGCTTTTTTTATTTTATAGGCTCGAAAACGAGGGGTGCCTCTATACGAATATTTTTACAATTTCCGTGAATTACTTATTTATATGAAGAAATCTTCCGGGTGTCGGACAAATGAAAATGATTGAAAACTTCATTTCTTCAGTTCTTTTGGCATGGAAATTCAAAATAATCAAGAAATGGTCAGCTTCGATCAATTCAAGATGAATGAGTCATTCACTGAAGAGGAAGGGTTGTGTAACACCTTTCTCTTTTTACGCGGAAAACCTGATGGATTCATTGGTGAAACTCTGGGAACTCACGTCAAGTCGATGTTTGATTGCCTACACCGGAGCTGGAACTACCGGTGAGCTTTTATTCAGTTCAGAAGTCTAATTGAGTTGCTTGGTACAATTTCTTCATTTTTTTTACAATTTTTTTGATATTTTTTACCGAGAGTGTTTTCAATATCTGTACAGTAATTGCGTTGTCGATCAGGCGTTATAATTGCAGATATGCATACGCTTATTTTTCATTTGTTGTTTCGGTGTTCAACCACTCCTTTACTTCGAAGAAATTCATTTTGTTTGAAGATTCGCAAGAAGGGAAAAATATTAGACCAATTTCGTTGGAATCACGACGCATAATAACTGTGACCCTGTTATATCCTCGGGGAAGTGTTCGAGAAAAACTTCGTGAGCACTTGATTATCGGCAGTGCGGTTTGAACTTGAATTGAAGACATCGCAGTTCGTATTTGAATCTAAATTTTCAGTCAACGCACAATTTTATATCAGACCGTTAAATACTGGGTATCTTCTTTGTGATGTTGAGTGCTACCTTGATTTTGTTCCATTCATGCTATAATTCTTTAAAAACCAATCTGTGAAATGGAAAAACGTCACGTGCCACCAGTTGGAAGGTCCTTGCTTTGAAACTTTTGACCCATTATGAAAATATTACCGCATTAACATGAATATAAGCTTTTTTCAATTTTATAGGCTCGAAAACGAGGGGGTGCCTCTATACGCATATTTTTACAATTTCCGTGAATTACTTATTTATATGAAGAAGTCTTCCTGGTGTCGGACAAATGAAAATGATTGAAAACTTCATTTCTTCGGTTCTTTTGGCATGGAAATTCAAAATAATCAAGAAATGGTCAGCTTCGATCAATTCAAGATGAATGAGTCATTCACTGAAGAGGAAGGGTTGTGTAACACCTTTCTCTTTTTACGCGGAAAACCTGAATGAATTCTATTAATTTATTTAAATTTTGTGCATGAAAAATCTGGGGAGGGGGTGCTTATAGTCGCGTAAATACGGTAATATTTTTATTCAATCTCGATGCAGGTAAGCAAGAACATGCTGCCCAAGCTGTGTTTAACCACACGGAAGACTTCGTGATGTATCCGGATGAAGCCACGGTTTCGTTGTGTTGTTGGGATGCGAGAAACGCGGCGAGAAAGCAGCTCTTGTCTCTGGGCCACAACGGAGCTGTTCGCTACATTTGTCATTCGCCGTGCACTCCGGCTTTTCTCACTTGCTCTGAAGATTTCCGAGCGCGTTTTTGGTACAAGCGAACAGCTTCTGCTGCTCACTGAAAGACAATTTTTTTTCTCTTTATTAGGTTTCCGAATTTGCGTTGGAATGAAATCTGTGTGCATGTGTGTTCGTTTTTACGAAGTTTCTCGAAGGCAGACATCAATGAAAGAATTTTTTCTTCGAGTCCCACGCTGACGTTTTCCTTGCCATAAATTCACTGGAAGTGCACAGTGGAATTTCGATTATCTTGTGGCTATTGACCGGCTGCCCTTGTCTTGATATTTCAAATAAAGTCGAACTTCCAGCAAAAAAAATTCGAGTTAAGGAAAAAAGCTTTTTTGTTTTGGGAAATGAGGCATATTTGCAGGAAATTGTAATTGGTGATCTTCTGGGCCTTGAATTGCTTCTTGAATGAGTTGAGAGGATGCGGAACTTTAAGGCAAGGGTTTAGTTGCCCATTAGTCTTTCACTTCCTTTCAAAACGCATCAAGTTACAAATTTTCTCGCTAATGTTCTTTCCTGTGTCAATAAAATAATAGATCAAAGACCTCCAGAAAATTCGAGGTGTGGAGGTTTGCGGGGGATTTCTTGAATCGTATTCTGAGGGAATTTCAGACACAGATTCCAAAAAATAATATGAAATTTGGAGGTATTCAACTTCAGGGAGGTTCGAGTTATCGAGGTTTAACTGTAATCATTTAAAACGCTTGTTCAATGGAAGAAAGACATTTGTTCCGATAATTTCCGAGGACTAAGAGACGGAAGTGACGAACGACAAGGTGGACGGTTAATTCAAGCTAAGATTATTGAAGTTTTATTGCCATTTTAATTTTCAGAAGAATCGATCTTATCCGAAACTTGCAGAATCAGCCTATTGCGATTCGCGTTGGACGGATGTCGTTTTATCATGCGTGTTGTTTTTTTGTTGTAGGAATGGAATATTTTTGAGAGTCAAGTTGGAATGGATTGGAACGGTGTTTGAGATAAAGACGCCAAAATTATGTCGAATGCTTCGGCGAAAGGCTCTTTCCTTTCAGCTCCTCAGACTGTCAATTTGTCTTCGGGTGGACTGCGACCTTCTCTTAATGTGCCAAATGCATCCGGATCAGCCACTGGTAATTTGAATTTTCATCCTTCTGTTCTCGACTGTGACTGTCAGAGCGAAATTTAGCGTCGTTTCGCCGATTTTCATCGGAATGACCACTCTGCAACGTTTGGTATAAAGTAGAGTGCAATTTACTGGATATTATCTCGCGAATTCAAAGCTAGTACAAAATCGAAATATTTTTGTGCAGTATTTTTGTTTTGAATCTCGTTCGAGAATGAATTGTTTCCTAAATTCTTTCGTGAATCTCGGGCCCATGTATCAATTCGGAATTTTAATAGCTTCAAACTAAACCCTTCGGTGAGTAAGATTGCTCGAGATTTCTCTGATTTTAGAACTGTGTTCTTTGATCAAATCAGTTTTTAAAGTCGTAAATTTGAATGCCTGTCGGTCTTATACCATTTGAAGCTCTTGTGAATCGTTTTTTAACGTGGACGGGATTTCTTCGTGATGCATTTTGAAAGAACAGTTTCCTCTGTTCTTTTGAAGATCGGACGATTAGGTAAATTATGGCAATCCTGAAAAAGAAGAGGACGATATAATTTGCAATTCATGCGTCATGATTGGCACACTATAATCATGCATTCTCGTGGATGGCTGACGTTTCCGTGCAAATCGCGCAGACAGTTCGCCGACACGAGCATTTTAAATATTGATACGACAGGAATGGCATGATTTGAAAAGCGAGACATTCGTTCCATACACTTCGGCATTAGCTGTCGATTCCTGAGGAACTTATTCCGTCATCGCTTTTCTTTCGAAGAAGAAAAAAAAAATTGAGACGTTCTGTGTTGAACTGGGATCATGAAATCCAATCTTTTAATTTTTTTTGGAGCGTGAAAGCAGATTATTTTTTCGATGTGCATATACTGAGCAAAAAGATGTTGTCTTGGTTATCAAATGTGTGTTGTTGCAAGGCATCGTCAGCCGTAATCCCTATGAAGGAATCCGATGTTCCTGAAGTTGTGAAAATTCTTCCCATCAAAGATGCGGAAGGTTATAAGATATTGACCTTTTTTTTATACGCCTGTTGTGTTCATGTTTTTTTAATTCTCTCGACATTCTCAGGGAACCCGAGGAACAAGATCGCCCTGAAACCCGGGCATTCGTTGATGGACTGGGTCAAGCTGACGAATTCAGGGAAAAATTTGGCCGGAGTTGATAAGTTTATGAATGTCAGCCATGAGGAATTGGCGAAACATGCTAGTCCGAATGATGTATGGGTCGCATTACGTGGTATGTGAAAGAAATTAGGAATTTCCGAAAACTCAGTCAGCACTCAACAGACGCCTCGCATAGCGGATTTTTTGCTTGACAGACTCGCTCTATGTCACTAATGTTCATTTCAAGATGAACAGACTACTTAAGGAAAAAAATGCCTCTAAAAATGAAGGTTTATTTTATGAATTTCGCGGCCGTCATTTTATTAATGGAAAAAAATGTTCTTATCCTCTTGTTCTGTTCCGTGTTTCTAGCCGGTTTTTCCGTTCTTCAAGTTTTAAGAAAGTGCAAAAGCAGTGTAAATAACTGTTCGCTATGTTCCGATTATTTGAATGTTTCAAGATCTTTTTTTATGCGCAGGAAACATTTACAATGTTACGCACTACATGGATTTTCATCCTGGAGGATGCGAGGAACTAATGCGTGGTGCTGGAAAAGATTGTACTGATTTGTTCGATGAGGTAATTCTTGTTCGATATTTCCCTGATATAATCCTTCTTTCGTCGTGATTTTCGTCGTTTTTGTTGTGATGTGCGAAATTTTAAAGGTGTCAAGTTGAAATAACATTTGTTGCCCGCTTGCAAGTTTTTCAGACTGTCGTTCAAGTGGTTTATTCACGTAGACCCTTTCACTAATTTAATGCCTGCCTTCGTCAGTTCCTCAACTGTATTCAAAAATTGAAATTTGACACGATTCAATTTTTACTTGCTTGTCCGAGAATGAGAGGCCCTTATAATTTTGATCGCATAAAATCGAGATTTTTTCAAATCGCGTCAATATTGATTCAGTGTTGGTAAAAATTTCAAAAGAAATGTTTACTGGATTTATCTTTCGATTACTGTCCAGTATATCGATCGGTGACTTACGGAACGCTGTTGAATTCTTGTAAAAAAAGGCGGGTTTCTCTATTTTTGCAATTCGTAAAAATGTCGTAGCATTTGAGCTTCAGTGTATGGGTTTTTCTATTTTCCTTCTAATTTTGGTCGCATGAAATTGAGATTTCTGGAAATCACCTCAGTATTGAAAGTTCAAAGGTAATGTTTACATTATCTATTTTGCGAGTACTGTACAGTGCATCGATCGCTGACTTACGGAACGCTGTTGAATTCTTGGAAAGAAAAGGCTATTCTGTCTCTTTTGCATTCGTGAAAGTTTCCTAGCATTTGAGCTTCAATTTATGGGTCTTTGTTTGATTACATTTCGATTCTCGGTGTTTTGTTTTAGGTGCATCGATGGGTCAACTACGAAAGTATGTTGAAGAAATGCATTGTGGGGAAACTGAAACCCTCGGTGGACAATCTGAGCTCGGGAGCTTTCGACTTGAACCAGAAGTTGCGCCAAGACCTCGCGGGAACCTTTCGACCCCCGAAATTGAAAACTACCGATTCTTCGGAAATCCGTAACATCTCGTTCGATTGGCACGAATCCCCAGGCACTGTGGAAATCAGTATTTTCACGAAAGTATCCGGAAACCGGTTAACGAAGGGCCACGTGATCGTAGACAACGATGGAAAAAGTCTCGACGTGTTCGTTTACACCCCGTCAAAGGCGAGGAACCGGTCTTTGCATCGACTCCGAGTGAAACTTAGAGACAATGTGGAAAGGAAAAGCACTGTGAACGTGTCATCGTCGTCGGGAAAGGTTACGTTGTTTTTCAAGAAGATCGTTAGAGACCACTGGGGTACGATCGGTGATGCGAAGTTGGAGTCTCCGTGTGTTGATAAACCTGAGCAGTGTTTTAGAACTGCGACTTTGGAAAAGGTTACCGGTGTTACGCATGATATGAAAGTGTTCGAATTTGTTTTGCCGCCGGGATGTTTCCTCGCCCCGCCTCTTGGGCACCACGTTTTCCTGAAAACTGATGTTCTTGGTGAGATTTTTCTTCTGTTGACATTTTACCCAGTGGTGCCTCAGTTAGTTGACTGTCCAGTTAGGTCTCGTTTTTTTTTTTTTTTTTTTTTTTTTTTTTTTCAAAANAGTTAGGTCTTGTTTTTTTTTTTTTTTTTTTTTTTTGTTGCAAAAATTGACTTCGTAAAACCAAACTTTTTCTTACGTCCCGGCAGAAAGCCCATGGAGTACACGTTGAAGCAATCTCATTATAATTAACTTATCAACTCCAGCGAAAAAACATTTAAGAGGAATGTTCAGTAGAATCTTCAGGTAGAAATTTTCTCTCACAGTCCGAAGTTTATGGTACAAATTGTAGACTGCATGATTCCAAGTATTTTTTTTCAGAAGATTGCTTCGTTTTTCAGAAATACAAATAAAATAAATCTGAGAATACCAGAAAAGCGAGATCTCTTTGTGAAAATATTTTTGAATCTTTAATTTATAAATTAAAAATATTTTCATACTGTTATAATGAGATGTTCTATAGAACATTTCATTATAGCAAATTGTTCACAGTAACAAACATTCTGAAGTCCCCGAAAGTTTGTTGTAACGAGATTTTACTGAATATTTTTTTCTGTGAGAACTCTTCTATACAAAAATTACATCAACTGAATAATTTTGAGATCTTAATACTTAACAACATGAATGAGCTACAGTGATTTGATCCAGATCCACAGAAGTTTCCGAACCGAGGAGTGTAGAGGTGTATGGAACCGCTGATCCCTCAATAGATCCTTTGAAAGTTAATTTTAGAGATTCTTCAATTAAAAAAAAGCCTGAACAAGAAGGAAAACGAGGCTCAAACCTCTCGATAATGTTTAAAAATCTTTCGCTCAGTCGCTTTATGAATTTTTACATTACGGTGCAATCGCTTTTCATGTCTTCAGCTCGAAGCAGGGTCCATTTACCTGGGGCACTACTGTATTTTCGTATAAAAGAACCGAACCTTGATTTTCATGCCTCGTTTTATCCTTTTGTCCAGGAATGAGTGTCGTGAAAGCGTATACGCCGATTTTGGAGAACGTGAACGACATGGAAAGTGATGCGAGGTTGCTTTGCGGGTCCAAGTTGCACTTGATGATCAAAATTTATCCTGATGGTGCTTTGACCCCTTCTTTGGATAACTTGAAGCCTGGACAAAGAGTAAGTGCTTCGTGTGTGTGTGTGTGTGTGTTTTTTTTCATTCCTGAAATATCCCGGTTAGTGTTTTGTTCGACGTTTTTTCCGACTTCGGCACAAAAATCTGGTATATTTGCGTGAAAGATTCAAATTGCTATGCCGAGATGATGGTGGTTCACGAATGTGATCCGATTCAGATTATCCGTATATCAACCCAATGAATACCTGTCCACCACTGAAGACAATTTTCGAACTGAAGACAGTTCGAAACGAATTTCGAAAAGAAAAGAAATTTTAATGTGAGGTGTCGTCCGAAAACTGCCTTTTTTCTGGCATGATTTCTTACTGTACACGGATTAGAGGAATTCCTGTTACATGGTTTGCCGGGATAATTACTTTTTACCGTGTCTCTTTTTGCACTTTGTTTTTGTCAATTTATGTATTTTGGAGATAGCGTGTCCATTTTTAAAAAATGAGTGCGCTAATTTTTAGTATTTGGTTAAATATTGTGAAGCAAGTGCAATTCTCTAAACGTGTTCCCTCAGTTTAAAGGGGCTGTAAAATTGTTATGCATATTAGAATCGATGACGTCTTTTTACTATTGTGAATTTGAAAGTATTGTAACGAATGAAAGATTAGAATAGAGTTACTGAAACACTGTAGTTCAAGTGGGTGCAGGAGAAAATCCCGTGGGAGAAAAAATCCCGCGGCCCGAAAATCCCGTGAGGCCAAAAATCCCGTAGGCCCAAAAATCTCGCGGGGTCCAAAAATCCCGTAGGTACGAAAATCCGGTATGCTAAAAAAATTGTGGTATTTTCTCGGAGTTTTTCTTCCAACTGCCTGGGAGGAATTCAAATACTGTATGGTAGATTATGAAATGGTGAAAGTGCAAGGGGTTTTCTTCCAAGGTTTTCCAAGATTTAGGAATTACCTCTCTCCATAGAACCTCATCAACTTCACTTCCTCACCTTCCTCCCAAGGAAACGTGAGAAAAATTTAACCTTCATTTGGATCAAGACTTCGTCCCTGTATTTGTTTTGTATATTATAAACTGTTAACTTTTCCAATTATTTTAAGCTCTACTTTGTCTTCGAAACATGAATTCTTACATCAGAAAAATGTCATTTGATCTCTACGTATGGTGATGGTATGTAAATAATTTCAAAATCATCAAATAAGTCTAATTACAGTTTTATAATGCTATTTCATTTTTTTTAATTTCAATATGCAAGTGTAGTTGTTTCAATATGCAATAGAAGTGAAGTTGAGGTTCTAATGAGAGACGTAATTCCTAAACCTTGGATATCCTTGGAAGGAAACCCCTCGCACTTTCACCATATCATAATCTACCATACAGTATTTGCATTCCTCCCCGGCAGTTGGAAGGAAAACTCCTAGAAAATATCACAATTTTTTAGCATACGGGATTTTCGTACCTACGGGATTTTCGGACCCCGCGAGATTGTTGGGCCTACGGGATTTCATCATGGAGCCAGTTCAAGTATCCCGACTCGGATGAAGTCGATTCGAACCTCTTTAAGTTGAACTTCAAGGAACCAGCAGCGAAAAATTCTACTTCGCGAGGTTTCGAGTTAGGTGAACAAGCATTTTTGATGGAGGAATGACGGAAGAATTACAGGAAATTGTTATTTGTAATATTTTGTGCTTCAAATTGTTTTTTAAATTAGTTGACAGGATGATGAACTTGGAGTCAAGGGTTCATTTGCCCAATTATTCTTTCACTTCCTTTCAAAACAGATCGTTTACGTTTTTATTTATACAGTATTATCTTTCCTGTGTCAATAAAGTGGTAGTTGAAAGGCCTCCAGTTAAGTCGAGTTTTGGAGGTTTGCGGGTGGAAGCTTTCGAGTTGCGGAAATTTTTAAAGCATTGTTTCAAAGGGAATTCAGACAGGGACTTGAAAAAAAAATATTTGACATGAGGAGGTTTGACTTGAAAAATGTTGGAGTTATTGAGGTTAAACTGATGCATCATCGCTTTACATGATGTACTCCATTTTCATGCAGATCGAGGTTTCCAATCATGACGGGAATTTCGAACCGGAGTCCTTTTGGGCCGCAGAAAATATCGCTTTCATCGCAGCTGGATCCGGTATTTCTCCCATGATCCGACTTCTCGCAGAACTTTTCGCCGGAAAGGAGGACCTGGGGAAAAAGAAAAACTCTATTCGGCTCTTGGCCTGTAACAAAACTGAAGCCGACATTCCTTGGGCGGATGTGATCGAAGAGTGGACAGAAGCTTATGATAAGTGAGAGGCATTTTTTGAAAATTCGAAAAACCGGGGCTCTTGCTGCAGACGTGGTCTGTTTTCTGAGGCAGAATCTCATAATTACAACAACAACAACAAACATTTTCATTAAGTGTTCTCAGTCAAACTCAAACGCTCGAAGCTCAAACCAAAGTATCTGCGGATTTCACTGTATTATTACGGTGAGAAAGGTGTTGACCAAAGCAATACAGTACCCAGTATTTTCAATCTGTGCCCGTTATAATTATGAATTGGTTGAGTAGATGTCGCTGGAAGTCACTAATGAATTTCAATTTAACGCGGGGTCACTGTACGTTTAATTTTCATGGGGTTTTACCTATTTACAAATAAGCATTTTTACTCCGTCAAAAATCAGTTGATAAATCTACATGTGACATTTTCGTGGAAAATCCTGACAGATTTTTGAAAGTTTTCCGGCCCGTGACGGGTCTGGAATTATTTGGACGCATTGATCACTGATCTTGATGATGCCTTATTGCGTTTGTTTCATGTCCAGCATTCGTCACGGATGAATAGCGGAAAGTTTCATTGATTTCACCTCAGAACAGAGAGAAATGCATTTTGTGATCCTGATGAAAAGTTTTTAGATTCGATAATTTTTTTATTTCAGTCTCCTATTGTCAAGTACTCCTCGTTTTAAGGATATTTTAGTACAGTATTAAAATCTGAGCAGCCTAAAAGAATTCCCAACATGAATTTTCATCGAAGTATAATTTTTGCGCATTTTGTTTCCGCGTGTCTTGCTCCAACTTAAATTTCATGAAGCCGTATATTTTCGCATGTTTCAACATATGAGCCACAAAAAAGGGAGGGGACCTCATGACTGCGTAATATCGTTTCAGACCACTTGAAAATCTCACTGCTTATTTTATGCTGATATTAATCCATTTCAAACCTCTAGTTTTTCAGTGAAGCATGTGTTGAGCCGACCGGATGCAGATTGGCAAGGCCCCAAAGGCCGAATCAATGAAGAAATTCTGAAAGGTTTCCTAGTCGAGTGGGACGAGGCGAATGATCGCAGTGTCCTGATTTGCGTTTGCGGGTCAAGTGCCTTCAACGACGTTGTACGAAAGTAAGTCAATTTCCTTCCCTTTGCACAGGAAATGCAAATTTTCGGTGACTTTATGTTCATTTTTTGCGCAGAATGTTGCTGAACATCGGGTTCAAGGCCGGTGAGCTGTTCTTATTTGACGGATGAAGTCGTTGCGTTCGATAGCCAAGAGACCTTGATCTTAAAATATGTTTTAGTTTACAGGAGATGATTTTTGTTATAATATACCTCTCAGTTGTACTGAAACAACAGAAGGAAAATTATGAATATTCTGGTACAGTGCAATTGCTGAAATGAAAAACACATTGTGGTGATGGTTTTTTGTGGTTATTGAAATGAGAATAAATTGACAATGTGTCAATGTTGTTTTCATGCATTCCTTTTCTTCTTTTTTTTTGGTGCTGAAGTTCTGCTTTGTGCATTGTTAATCTTGTGTTTTGAGATTTTTGCAATTTATTGTGTTTGAGATTTTTTCTCCGGGAAAACTGATCCAGATTATGACTCTTGCAAGCTACAGCCTAGCTGATTGGTTTCATTTTAAAACTGTTCTGCTTTCACACAAAAGTGATAGCAGAGTTTGGTTCCACATCTCTGTAGTGTTGAAATCTGAAATTTTCAAAGTTTTGCAGAAAGTGATGAACTCTTGAAAAGTGAGTGGAATTCTTAGTAGGGATTTACCTGTACTGTATATGCAAGTTTTTGGCAGCAGAAAGGATCAGTATCTCAGATTCATATCCCTAAACACGCCATCTTGCTGAAGAAAAAATGACCTGAGCCCAAACAAAACCAACTTTTAGTGATTTTTTTATGAAGTGAATAATTTTTGTGAAGGAGTTTTGTCTTTTGGAGACCCTAGGTTGTCCAAAGTTCATTTTGGTTCTTGCTAGGCTAGATTCTCCACCAGTTATATTCGAAGAAACTTCCAGTTTCTTAATTTTGGGGCCAACCTTTTGTTTTCAGGCAATTTCTTTGGCATCCATGGGACTAGGTCTAAGATGTGCAATCCTGTCTGAGGCATGCACCATTGGAGGCAATAATCCTGAGGTTTGCTCTTCTACAAAGGGTTTGTTCAGCAAATTCTTGTTGGACATGATATATTTAAAATTGGTGAAAAGCAAAAAGGTTTGGAAGTGCTGCTTGCCCAAGCTTTCTGATTGTTTGATTTATTGTCAACCATCAAGTCAGTAAGGAGTGAGAACAAGGCTATGCTACCAATTTTTGTGTGGATAGAATCCAGACTATGACTCCAGGCTGCGCTGTACCTGGAAGGTTTGTGGAAGCATTCTGTTTTTTTATAGATGTCATGCAAACAAATTTGTAACAGTGAGTGATTCTATGCCAGCTTATTTTCTTTCTTTTTTATCCATGAAACCCATCAAAATTGCTTCAGAGGGGAAATCTCTCAATGGCTTTCAAGGCGCAAAATGATTCAAATTTATTTGAAACATTTTTATTCACAAACTATTTTTGTTCAGTCTTTCTTCTGTTTTTTCCAGTCTCAATGTCTCCAAGAAGTGTGCCAGACTTATGAGCCAAATTTCAGTGTCTTATCCTGCATTTCAAGCCAAAAGAAGACTGATCAAAGATAATTGTTTTGACAAAAAATGTTTAGAACAAGTGTCTGAATGAAGTTGTGTCTTGAAAGTTTGCAAGAAGGTTTTTTTGGAAGGGATTTTTGACGGGTTTTATGGATGAAAAAGAAAGCAAGCTGCCATTTCACTCATTTCCCTTTCAATTGAGTCAAATTTTGAATTTCATGTCTTCCACAATCTTTTTGTGCAAGGTTTCAGTGCAATAAAAGAGTGTTGCAAAAAATTGTGCCAAACCTTTCCCAGTAATGTTCAAAAAATCAATTGATTGAACAGTGATTATTCTGGGGTAGAAGTTTCTGCCAATATTCAATTGCCTAATTAATTTGTTGATGCTTGCGGAAAATAAATTGACAGTTTGAGCAATTGATATTTGTTGACCTGATTCGCACATTGTCTGGTGCTTTTTATGACATGGCTTAATTTTTGTTGACCTTTTTTTTCCTGTAGAACTTCTTGAGAAGATGATTGGAAATTCACGGTTATGTATCCAAAAATTTATTCCTGCCTTATTGATGCATTTTTCTTGAAGCAAGTATTCTATGTACCCAATAGAATTTGTTGAAAAGAACTGTGATATATGCTTTAAAATCTCATTATAGCGATCTCCTGTCAAGAAAGTAATCCTTACAACGAATTTGTTTGTCCCTGTCCAATATCCACAATGTTATCATAACTTCGTTGCTCATACAACGAAGCTTTTGTAATGTAGAGTTTTAATTAATTTTTGTTTTTAACGAAGCATAATGTTCCGAATGCGTTGTTGTAACAAGTTTCTCCTGCATATATGGAAGCATTGAGGAAAAAGCGGAAGGGGAAGAAGAAGAAGAGAGAAATCTCGGCAGCCTTTGTGGAAAACGGTGTTTCCGGGAAGCTGGCAGCATATGCAAATCGGTCAGTTGCTTGGAAAAATCCGAGAAAGAGAGAGGTTCTCCTTTTTCTCTCAATTTCTCCTCCTTTTTGTGTATGTATGTGTGTGTGTGTGTGTGCCTACGCCGAGTCGGTGGCGAGGGTTTAATCGGCGTGGAAATTCTCCAGACGTTGTCGGGGAGCTAGCCTGGCCCGCTATGTTTTTGTCGGGCGCCTTTGTGCGACCGCCGGCGAAGTTGGCGGACGGACGCCGCGCGAGGCGCCTGAAACACCGCGACGCACGAAGAAGAAGGAAAGGAGAAAAGAAAGGGCTTTGGTTATGCGATTAATTTTTTTTTTTGCTCGTTTTTCTCGACGGTTTCGAGCTTTTTTTCTCTCTCTTCTTCTTCTGTAGTTGATCATCCTGTGTGTTTTTATATAATTATATCTCATGACATAATTTATGTCAACGTATTCGTTTCAGTTAATTTTCCGAAAATTCACGAACGAAAATTTCGAGAGCTACTGAAGCAGGGGATGCAAAAATATACATGATACATATTTGATTGACGTTTTGCGAGGTTTACAGCTTTGTATCGCGATTAGTAAACTTTTCGAATCATGGATTCCGTTTTGCTTGTTCTGTTAATTAAGGCTCCGATTTACTTTTTTTTCTTTTTGGTGAAGCGTTTATTCTTATTGAAAACCAAGAATGAAATAAAAATCTTCGTAGAAATGCAATGCCTGATTATTGATGGGGTGAATTGGGTGCGTTTGACATGTTTCATCTTCTTTTTTTTTCAACGCAAAGAAAATTGAAAATTTGGGTATGAAACTTTTTTTCACTGGATTGCGTGATATGTAACCAATCCGTTTATTTCTTCATAATAGGGTTTTTGAGCGCTGAGTGAACTCACTATAATTAAATATGACAATCAGAATCCTTGTCAAGAATTGAAACCACAACAAAAAGAAAATACTTGTATTGCAAATGCTTAGCTGAAATGTCAATCCTCTGTTTTTTATAGGCTTTTAATCAATTTGAATTTGGGGTATGCATGTATCTCTGTTGAAGGGGTATATCCAGATTTAGCAAAGTTTAACCCACTTTTGAATGTCCAATCTAGCTGAAATTTTCCACACTTGCCAAATGTTGATGACTATGCAATGTACAGTTGCAATGTACAGTTGTACAGTTGCTCTTCAAGTTGAATTTCTAGGGACCAGGAAAAAAATTTGACTTAGGGAGGTTTTGATTTTTGGAGGTTTCCAGTTGAAAAAAAAGACCTTTTTGTTGTGAGGAGAAGTGAAATAACGTGTGGGAAATTGTAAATGAGGATATTCTGGGCCTAAACTTGCTCCTTAATGAGTTTACGCCTTGCTGAACTTGGAGGCAGGGGTTCATTTGCTGTATTAGTCTTAAACTTTCTTTCAAGATGCATTAAAATATTTGTTTTAATGATTTTATTTTTTATATTTCAATGAAATAATAGCCAGAAGGCCTCAGAAAATTTGACTTACCGAGGTTTCAGAGAAAAAGACTCCAAGTTAGGGAGTTTTTTAATGCATTGATTCTTTGGGAATTCATACAGGGACTTGAAAACAGTTGGACTTAGTGAGGAATTTGACTTAGAGAGGTTTAACTTATCAAGGTTCACCTGCATAAAAATTTCAGAATTTTTGGATGATCATCAGAGAGAGAGAGACCTGACACAGAACCTGTGATTAAGCCATCACAACGCAATTGCCCTCACTTTTATTAGACCAATATTCCAGGAAATATTTGGAAAAAGTTTATTTTCCCTATTTTTTAGTTGATAAAAGTATATTTTAATGAGGTTTTTTTTAATCATTATTTATTCATTACAGATTCACGACAACTCCGTCGCAGGATTATTGCTTCAGTCAATTCATAAGATCGACGACGACATTTCCGAAGCAAATTGCCGTTGTTTTCGCTGCTTTTTTCAAAACCCAAAAATGGAAGCGGTCGCCAGAGAAGATGGCGTTCGGTCTTTTGTTGAGGCAATTGGTCCGGGTGATGCCGCCTACGCCGAGCGGTGAGTCCTTCTTCTTCCTCCTCCTTCTTCTTCTTTTTCTTGTTCCCCGCAGCAGTTCTTCGGGGTACTGCTTCTCTTTCATACACCATCATTTTGTTTCGTTTTTTTTTCTTTCTTTAACTTTTGGGTAAGAAAGAGGGATGTGATTTGCGTTGTTATGGGGGTGTTGAGACGACAACGCGATCCCGGTGGCAGGTGTGTGCCAAAATTTGGTTCGGTCTTTCGCGTCAACCAATGGGGGGGAGCGAGTTATTATTTTCTGTTTCATTTTTTTTTATTTTCGTGGTGGTTTGAATCTCGGGCCCACTGTTTGAGCCTGAGTCTTATAAAATTTAATCCGTGGATTTTGCATGCAGAATTTTTTATCTTCAGTAAAACATGGTGCAGTATAATGACCAGGCGATGATCAATCACCCAGCAAAAAAAAAAAAAAAATATATATATATATATATATATAAATATATGTAATCCCTGTTTAAAGATAAAAAAAAGTTTGGTTTCATCAATATGACATGCTATTAAAATGGAGGTGTGACTGAAATATTTTTTTTTCCGGCGAAGTCCGATTTAAAAAAATATTTATTTCAGGCAATAAAATCAGTGAAGAGAACAGATTAGGAATACTGTAATGTGTAAATAATTTTCTCCTCTCCGCATTCATAAGAAGTTTTTCTCCCGAAATATTTTCAAAAATTATTACCTAATTACCTAATTTTTT